CACCCGTTTAAGAAGTATCCAGCCCCTCGCCGATTACTGCGTATAGAGATTGCATGAAAATAGATATACATGGAATAAAATACTATTAATTAAATCCCAAGTCATGTTAATAAAGAAATAAGCACGAGAAGGAGCTCTCTGAAGTGCAATTTAATTTGCCTAGTCGGAAATTATTCCCAGGGGATCAACTAGAGTGCAGTGCTAGAATCAAATTAAGAAGTCAATGAAAACATCCACGAAGGTAGAAACTATTGCCCACCACTGGCAACCCCTCACCAAAATGCTTACACCTCTTATGAATTAATTGGTAAAACAGATAGCACAAGCTAATTGATGAAATAGTTGTTCCACTTAGGTGTTTATACCCCAAATTTTCCACGGAGGAAGTCAGCTTAGTTCGAAATTCAGCATTGAAGATCACGTGTGGGCTGGTCGAGTCCAGGAGTCAGTTCAAGAGCCAGAAGTGGCCGAAGCAGAGTTACTGGATTCCGACACTTGGCCTGAGCGGTTGTTCTACCCGATTAAATCGACTACATTGCTGCAAAGTCAGAGCGAATTACGGTTGCCGTATAACCACGCCGAATGGCAACCCCACCCCCTCAGTCTCTTTACTCTCCTAGCCCCACACCCTCTCGAGTGATACCGTCGTTTCTCTCCTCGATGCATTCAGAAGCCAAACCCCATACTACTCTGTACTCCTAAGTTCCCAAGTACTTTAGAGTTCCTACGTAAAAGGAGAGGATAGTTGGAGGCTCTCTGAAAGACTACCACGAATCTGCTATGATGCTGTTAACCACTACGATAAATTTTCAAAATTACCTCGAGTGTGTGGATTACAACAGCGAATCTAATTGAATCGTTGGAAATTAATTTTTGATCTTCACCGATAAAACACTTGGAATTTATGGAATTTGTTTTCAAGCGATTCTATTAGGTCATCGATTTGTCGGATAGAATTGAAATAACTTTAGTGAAACCGTCGGACGGAGATCTTCCAAAAACCATGGAGGATCTGTCTCGGACGGATTTCAGACGTTTGTTTCCGCGTGATTTGTCTGAGGCCGACGCTCATATTTGGTCGCAGCCCTCTCATACATCCAAAAAAATGATTTATTTGAATCAAATGAAGTTCATTTAAATAAAATAAATTAGTTCATTTAAATAGTACCAATTAACATTTTTTTTCAAATTACATATGAATTTTTATTCGAAGTTTTGTTTATATTAAATAAACGTTCTTTACTGTTTATAAATCTTTGTTTGATCGAAATAAATTCTTTATTTGAATCAATTAAATTTTTTCTCTGAACTAAGTGTAGTAGCCCGGTGGCTTGGCGCAGTGGGTAAGTTCGTTGCCTCACCTGCGAAAGGTTCTGAGTTCAAATCCCGGGCGGCTAGAATGGTGCGATCTAACCATTTAAAGTCTTGATCATCATCGCAGTATACCCTAACCGGGTCGAAGCGATGTAAAATAACGATGAAAAAAAACTAAGTATAGTATATTTCAAGGCGAGTGACAATGTTCAATGCACTATAAAGTCCCGCTTTTTTAGACGTTCGGATCCCCCAACATAAGACTTTGTTAATGTTTCAAATTAAAGCATTAAGTCTTGGTATCTAGACATTCTAGATGTCTTACTCGAGAAGCTGTTGTTTCGACCTCATGATGGTGCATTTATTTTTCCAAGCACTTCATTTATTTCCTTTCAATGGTCGACTACATTGCGTGAAAAAAGCCAATCATTTTTACACTGATAATTTTGGGTATGTTGAAAATAGTGGCCATAGAGGAGGATTTGAAGGCAGTTGGGAATGTTTTTCGGGAAGTAAAAGTATTTTTGGATGAAAGTATTTCTCATTCATGAATTGAGTCTCTGGTACGGCTCAAAAGTATTTTCCTACGGTGATATTCATAGTTTTTACGCCCTTCTGATCCTACAGTGATACAATGTTCGAATTCATTTGACATCTTCCACTCTCAACACGCTTTCGCTTCTCTGAATAAATTCAAAATTTCAATGAATTGCAAGACAATGAATAAGTCCCCGAAAATGTCTCATGATCTCATGTCTTAGTGGAATTAAGGTGTTTCGTTCGCAAAAGATAAATAAAGACATTCATCTAGAATTCATATAGAAGGTTCATAATCACAGTTGGATTATCTATGAGTTGTTCTCGAATTTTTCTGGGTTTGCTCTTCAACCTCAGCAAACCCAGAGTCCCCTAACGGGCTCTTTGATGTAACGCGGATTCCATATTCAATACCGGTTTCATGACCGAGTCACTGAGGGTATTTCTTGTAAAATTTCTTGAAAGAAATAAATCTCATGAAAGGATGATGCTATGATATCTTGGAACATCGATGAAATAATTAGATAAACTTTTTTCATGCATAATTGAATGAACTTGAAGCACATTTGAGGAAACCATAGAAAAATGCGCCAATTCCGTAAAAATCGCCAGAACGGGCGCCAGACGACTAACTCATGGTCCATAGGGAGATATAAATCCCACCACTAGGCATTTGTACCCCCCAATGCCGAGTATAAGAAAAATGAAAAAAGTGGCTAATCCACTATCAGGGAAATTTTGAAACAATTCGAAATTCACAAAAATCATCATGAAAATAAAAACACTGGATATAACTGTTGGAATGATCTTCTACCTTCGACAGGTTGGCATTGAAATGAATATTTTAAGCTATGATTGAATTCATTTGAAGCATGATATGCAAAGATATCTCCGAAGTTCTCATTTTCGAGATATACGAAATTTTTGAAAATTATTCTATAAATCAAAACAACGATTCTTACTATCGCATTCATCTTCGAACTCAGTCAAAGAGACATCGAAACAATTTCACTAGTTTTTGAAGTGCGATAATTTCTTTGTTGATATACATATATTCTTGATTCGAAATGTGGTACCACCCCTACTTATCACGGGTACAGTTGATGACGGGACAAATGATTACAAATTTGACCACATGGACAAGTCACCACAAATCCTTCTATCACAAGCTGTTTTGATCACGGGACAATTCAGCAGTTATACGTCAGCAAAGTTTCCTATTGAAATATGGAATTCCTACTATGCAGTCGTTAGTGATGAGCCCAGGACCAATAATATGATGGAAGGTTGGCTGAATAGTTCCGAAAGAACTATTATCCAACACAACTCAATGGATTCTAATGAATTATTAAATACTCTAAAACTTGACCCGTTCATGTTTTTCATGTTAATTTTTCATCGTAATTAAATATACACTACACTCTAAAAAAAGATTACTTCTGATAAGTAGGAAAACTACTTGTATTCAGTACCGAGGCGTTTCTGGAGAAAAGCTAATTTTTTTACTTGGTCCAAGTCGAAAATTGACTGAATACAAGCTTTATGCTCCAAGTACAATTAGCACTGGTGACAAGTACCAATTGTACTCATCATCAGTACTGAAAGTACTTGTACTGAGTACCGAGCTGTACTTCTTAAAAGTAGAAAAAATACTTGAGACAAGTAGTAATAGTACTCAAATCCAGTACCAATGGAGTTTCCCGGAATATTACAGTAAGATTCATCATACAATGGAGATCGTTGAAAAACGAAGAATTAATGCAAATAAAATTATTGTTTATTGTTCGTTTGCCCCTCAAATGCTTGAAAATTGAAATGTACTGGACTACAGTCCAGTGTAATAAATTCTCGAGCTACAGAGATTTTTTTTTCAAAATTTTTCAAAAGATGTGTAGAATAACAATTACCAATTAAGTTTTCCAAATTTAATTTCCAAATAGTCCTTTTTTTTAATAACAAAAAAGGTAATATTCATGCGAAATAGCCAGCAAAATGATTCTCAAAATAATTGTTATATTTTATATTGAACAAAAAAATTGAAGTATTAATCTTTTGAGCTATCTTGTGTGAAAATTGCAATTTCATTATGCGACAAAGAATGAAATTGCCTATTTAGAAGTCGAATTTTGAAAAAAAGTAGCTCGTAACCGTTATTCTAGACATCTTTTGAAAAATTTACAAAAGGAAACCCCTGTAGCTCAAAAATTGAGTACACTGTGCTATTTTTCTTCATTTTCAAGGTCTTGGGGGCAAATAAACAATAAATAATCGTTTTTTTTCCCACTTATTCTTCGTCTTTCAACATATATAAATAATCAATCATCAATGTGTGATAAATCTTACTGCAATATCTCGCGATTTTTAAACTCATCGTAACCTCCCCTCGATGAAATTTGGTCATTGTCATCTGAGAATGATAATGATAATGATAATGAGAACGATAATGAGAATGATAATTAATGATATGAAATTCCCCAACAAAATAACCAACCAAAAGTACTGGAATCAAGTCATAAAAGTACTTGCGAGAAGTAGAAAAATTACTTGCTCCAAGCATTAAAAGTACTTGTGAGAAGTAAGAAAAATGCTGACAGGAAGTAATAAAAGTACTTCCTCCTAGTACTTTTCCTACTTGCTTAGCAAATATTGTACTTCACCCAAGGACATGAAAAGTACTTGGGACAAGTAGTTTCCCAACTTTTCACAAGAAAACTTCTCCCAAGTAGAATTCAGTACTGGTGAGTAGTAACTTTTTTTTAGAGTGTAAATACACTCAATTACTGATAATTTAATATTGTGGGATGTATTTTCTTGATGATCTAATTACTCTGTTATTATTTTTTTCGTGATCAATAGAGGTGCAATCAGAAATTTCATTCTCATTGAAATATGAAACAAAATAATTTTATATTTTCTTTCGTAAAATGCGTCGAATTTACTACAAAAATTTCAAAAATCCATTTGTTTTCGATTTTATCAGCGAGACCCGACATTGCTTCGCTGGAATAAACAGTGAAATAACGAGTTCCATTAATTTGAGTATATTCTCATTCACTAAAATCGTTGAATAATGGAACTAAAAATTCATGGTACCTCATAAAATGCAAAATACTCGCTGGGTCAAGAGAAGCAGAAACAAAAGTACTCACTTCCCCGAATAATGTTGAATATGCAGGGTGCTCGTTGTCTTCCAATGCTGTTGCTTGCCCAACATCCAAGTGTACCATAATCCCCATCCACTAGGGGTGTGTACTCTAAAATACTTGTGACACCCTGATTTCTTGGTTTGGAATTTTGCACAGGGAGAACATCTCCTCTTGTCCCATTAAATGTCCAGGAAAATCGTACTGTGTCACTTGGTAACGCCTCCACCTCGCAGTAGAGTTTTACAACCTCACCGAGATCCACTGGGATGTCTGTTGATTCAAAACCTACACGACATCTCGGAGCAACTAAAGTAGAGAAAGTAATCTTTTCAATTGGACTAATAAGACCATTAGTATTATTATTTAAAAAAATAACCAAATAAAGAGACAGAATCTATTTAGTCTGAATTATTCCAGGATAAAATGTCGATGACTTTTTTTGTCTGAAATTTTTTCAGTTACAAATAGTATTTTTCCGGCCTGTTGCGATGGGGTTTTTTACTCGTGTGGCGTTGGCCTCTGAGCCGTAGGCGAGGACTGGCCAACCTTAGTACATCGTTAATACAAGTTCAAGTCAGATACGAAGGTGAACATAATGTTTAAAAAACAATCTCATTTGAATAAATATCTTACGTTCACTTAATATAGCATCATTCGTTAGAACATTTCATTCAATTTCTATTGAAAACTATTAACTTTTGCCGTTTGTATGAAAAAATTCTGCAGAGTATGTTGAGATGAAAATTTTTGGAAATGAGTCAGTGGTCGGTGAGATGAGATAAAGTGAAGATCAAGAGCGTTTGTGGTCGTTATTAATAAGACACGTCTATGTAACTTGTATTCATATGTTTTTATATTTTATCCATTTATATTTCCACTAAAGTTTAATCATATTTATTATCAATCCCGAATCTTGACAATGATCCTACATTTATGAAGAAATTATCTCAATAGAATAAGCTGTATAAAAAGTAAATTTTGTTAATTTGTTCTATAACGTAATTTTTACAGAAAGCGACAGAATTTTTCAATAGAATGAAAAACAAATATAGCTTAATATAGCATCATTCGTTAGAACAATTCATTCAATTTCTATTGAAAACTATTAAGTTTTGCCGTTTGTATGAAAAAATTCTCCAGAGTATGTGAGATGAAAATTTTTGGAAATGAGTCAGTGGTCGGTGAGACGAGCTAAAGTGAAGATCAAGAGCGTTTGTATTCCTTATTAATAAGATACGTCTATGTGACTTGTATTCATATGTTTTTATATTTTATCCATTTATATTTCCACTAAAGTTTAATCATATTTATTTTCAATCCCGAATCTTGACAATGATCCTACATTTATGAAAAAATTATCTCAATCGAATAAAAAGTAAATTTTGTTAATTTGTTCTATAACGTAATTTTTACAGAAAGCGACAGAATTTTTCAACAGAATGGAAAACAAATTCATAGAATTTCCGTTACAAGTTCAATAAAAGTTTATAGAATTTTCTACCAAATACGCTTGCTCTTCCTACGAAATTTCTTCGTACATGATGCTTCGTTGTAGATATTATATTGTATCGATCATTCTAGCAAAATATTTTTGGTGAAACTTACACTTCATGTGAATCCGAAGAGGTAAACTACGGCCCTCACCAACTCTATTCCGAGCGTAACAGGTGTACTCCCCAGAGTGTCCGAGATTCAAGACCCTCAATGTCAAAGTGTTCGAGGCTATGAGAATCCCTGTTGTAACGTCATGCTCAAGGCGAGTGTCCTGAAATTTCATGAAGCGATAAACGTTATTTTATTATTCTCATCGTTTGACAGTATTCCAGGGTAAGACACCCGTCGCTTTGGCAGACATTTGCATACATCTGTCAGATCAGGAGAATCGGCCAAAATGAATTTCTCACTACTGAGTCTTGATGATTCTAATTATACCACTCAGAATCAATTTGAATAACCTTGAGACATTATCTCTTCGTCAAAATTCAGCAATAAATTACGCCTATTCATATCGCAATTACAACTTGGGTCTTTCACTCGAATCGAGAATGAATACCAGATGGAGAAATCTGTGCCAATCCGTTTCGTGTACATTTAGCTGTGAAATATTTGTCATCATGTCGCTAGATTTGAATAATAGGTCCCACGCAGAAATGATGGATAGCGAGCGTTGGATGTATTACGTGCAATTTCCCAAATGGCTGTTGCTATCAAGAAATATAACCCCTCGGAAAAGCCAAAACAATCGAAGACTAATCATTGTGTCTTCGTTAAAGTAGTGTACTCAGACTCCGCTTAAGTCGTTGAGTGTCGTGAGGAAAAATAATTTAAAAATGCCCTAAAAAAATTATTCATCGTTGATACTTTCTTACATGAATTCTAATTTTGACGAGAGTAAAAAATTAATTCATATCACCATTCATATGTTCATATGTTGTACTTCATATCATCATATTCGCTTTACAATTATTTTTTTAATAATAGTTGCTCGTTTGACTAGGGTATCCTGTATATTTGGGGCGTTCGCAGAAACAAATTATTTACCACAAAAGATTGACACTAACAGTTTGACGCAACATCGTGAGAATGTCGAGTTCAATAAATCATTGACTTCCATTTAAAATACATCGCCATAGAAATTCCATTTGGAAGCACATTGCTAATTTATTAGTAGAAATATGTTGACTATGCTGTGACGAAAGCAATTTCTTCCTTGGTTCAACCTTAAAAAGAGCATTTTCTTCAAAGTCTCTGTGTTAGTCGGCAGTTATAAGTTCTGTGTTATTCGAAGCAAAAGTCCCGCTCTTGCGCTCCTGCTCCCAAGAGTGCTCTTTCAAGGAGTGAAATTAAGAGGAAATGTTGAGAGTGCTTTTGCAAAGAGCAAAATTTTGGGAGCATTCCTGCAAAGAGTGAAATTGGGAGTGAAATGACGGGAGCGCTCTCTCAGAGGAAAAAATAGAGAGTGAAATGATGGGAGCACTCTTTCAAAAAGGGCTAGAAGGAGCGGTGGGGCTAGAATAATGGTAGTTGTGGCAGGAGGTATTATTTTTCCCTTCACGTCGGTACGATTCCTTGTTCACGGGGATCTCGCGGGCTGCTTCAGAGAATTATTTGAAGTTATTTGTCGAATATTAATTAATTTATCATACATCATTATGGTGATTCATTAAATTTGTCATTCACGCATTTTAATTTGAATTTCATCGATACCTGAGAAGACGGTCCAGCGTGATTGCGTCGTCACTACAGGTTCATGCCCTGAAGTATCGATTTTTGCTAATGCCTGGGCCTGAGAATAGGCAACAAGTCGCCAGCGAGACGCTCTTCACCCGGCAGCGAAAGCGTGTGAATGTACTTTGTATTCTAAATCATATTTTATATTGTTTTTCCATTTATTTTATTTTGTGTGGAGAAGAGTCGATTCCCAAGAACATTTTGAGGTTCCTGTTGAATAAACTAAGTGTATTTGTCGACACAAAACAGTGAGTATCTATTCATTAATATTCTTGCCTAATTTCCTTCTCTCTATCTCTGTCGAATTTCTCTAATCTTGGATCTTCCAACTTTTCACTCCCTGAGTTAAGTCGGGAAAACGTTGTTAATTGTCAAAAACTAACTGGTGCCCAGTGAACTAATTATTTTGTCGAGTTGAATTATAAAAAGGCCCGCGCCAGGTGTAGGCCTTCAGCCAATTCATTTATTGCAGTGAAATTTATATCTATATCGTAGATTATTTATTTAAAACTAAAAGGCCAGTCTCATGGTTTTCGACTGCCGGGCTTCTCTATATTTAATTACTCGTTATCTCCCAAAAAACCAAAAACAAATGTTTTTGCAAAAAAACTGGGCCAAGAAAAAGTTTTGTGGGGTCGTTTCTGGAAAGAAGAAACATTTTTTTCTGGAAACCACAATTCCCATAGAAATTTTGCAAAAAATAAACAAATAAAAATCAAAGCCAAGTCAAGAAATGTCCAATGGATCATGGAATGTGCTATCAGATTATTATGGGGAGGATAACTCTGAATAGAAGGATTTAAAAAAAAATCTTCATAAAATAAAAAATTCAGTAGAGACAGGATTCAAAGTTCTTGGCGCGGATCAGAAGATACAGATTGATACGAGACAATGAGTTGGAAAACTCCGCGCCAAGAACTTTGAATCCTGTCTCTACTGAATTTTTTATTTTATGAAGATTTTTTTTTAAATCCTTCTATTCAGAGTTATCCTCCCCATAATAATCTGATAGCACCTTCCATGATCCATTGGACATTTCTTGACTTGGCTTTGATTTTTATTTGTTTATTTTTTGCAAAATTTCTATGGTAATTGTGATTTCCAGAAAAAAATGTTTCTTCTTTCCAGAAACGACCCCACAAAACTTTTTCTTGGCCCAGTTTTTTTGCAAAAACATTTGTTTTTGTTTTTTTGGGAGATTTCAGTCATTTTTCCAAAACGAGCACACGATCATTTTCGTATGAATCGAATTGATTTTTTTCCGCGCAACAGAAACTATTTTCAATCACTTCTGCTCTAAGAAAAAAAGGTATTTCTTTCCTACATTTATTTATAATTCATGCTCCGATTCGATTTGAGAATTTCATGAGAAAATCAAACGTTCAAATTACCCGCGTAAAATAACCTCAGAAATAAACTCGCCCACATGTTATTCACGGACTGAGTTGAAAATCTAAATTAATCGAGGATAGGGGAAAAATTTCTATGCAATATACAGCGCTATATGACCTTGTTCATCAATTTTTCATTAATTTTTACAATAAGTCCATGATGAGTTTAAAAAATGCAAATCAGTAGAATTCAAGAAGGAGAGAGAAAGAGTAATGCGCTATTCAAATCTCCCTCCTCTGCGCGTGAGGTTGGAGCACACTGCTACCAACTTCGAAAACGAAATCTCACACTTAGTGCTCAGAGATAATGTGAAATGCGAGACATCATCATCAAATCAAATGCAAACATCTCCAACATTCATCAAAGGAGGTTGAAACGAAGGAGAAGACACAAGAAAAAGTCTCGGGATTCTAGAAACTGCTCAAGTATTCTTTTTGCGAGTGAAAAAGACTCGTTACAATATAACAAGTACAATGTACTCAGGAATGTGTCTACAACCTCGTAACAATATTTTACAAATGACTAAACTAGGTGAAATAACAATTCACTGAACAGTCAGCATTTGAAAAATCTTTCATATCTTGAAATTTTCACGGAGGTACGTAGAATTGACGCCTCTCATATCGTCACATTTTTACAGTTACCATAGTCTACGTAGTGTAAAATTTATCGAGCGTTCGAAATAGCTTTGGCACTCAGTCACGTATTCCTCCGAGATTTTTATATGCTTTAACATCAACCTTTTTACGTTTCCAAAAAAGGAAAAAAAATGTTCGTCTCTTCAGCGACGAATATTTCCAAATCATCCTCAAGTTAGTGCGATAAAATTCATGCAGCCACATTTACATTACGAAATGAATAAAACTTTTATGCTTGACAATGGTGAAATGTAAATTGAATGGAATATAAAAAGATGGGGGAAAGAAAAATATTGAAAAAAAGTGAATACAAAGAGTAATGTGCCTATATCCCTTGGATTTTCACACACAATGAGTTGGCTTTTATATTCTCCAGGGTCTTGAGCATCGGGTAAAGCACAAATTTAACAGGACAACTGGTTTTTTTTCCTTCCTCCTGTTTCTTTTTGTAGGTGATCACGGCTCGTTGACGTCAACCCTTAACTCCATCATCCCTCTCGCCCTGTCCTTTCGTGAGCTCATGGGCCATTAGGTATTCGACTCCCTCGTGAATTTTAGTTTCAGGGCAGTCATAGGCGAACATAATGCCAAATATTTATCTCCCTCAGCGTGGAGAACTCGAGCGAATAAGCACTTCTGTCTCAAGGATATAGCCAGTCTATGTGAGTGCACGACGAGCCCCAAGTGAACTGGTTAATCACTGTATTAAGTGAGACTGCTCCCGAGACTACCATATAGGGTAAATGCACCGAGAAACAGATAATCTGTCCGTTGATAAATAGTTGGAAATTTTCTGATGATTGTGCTTGAGAATGAAAAACAAACAGACGACTGCAAGCGCGAGACTAGATGTTTTGTGTATTATTGCTCCTTTCTTCTTCAATACATTGCACGATAATTTTGTTTCGTAACAAGTTGAGAATAAGCCCCAAAGGCAAAAATAAGCGATAAAATTACGATGTGTGACTATTTAGAAAAAAACTAGGGGGCTACGCCCTCTGCTCGCTACGTTCACCAACCCCCATATGACCCACATGAACCTTAGTCAGACCTTTGTGACCTTTAATCTAAGCCTCGTGACTCTTATTCTGATCCTCATTATATCCCTCGTGGCCCTTAATTTTGGAGTCTTAATTTCGTGTACCAAATTTTCAGCACCAGAAGGTGATTTGGATTTTTATAATATAGAAAAGAAAGATATATAGAGACCCTTATTTTGACCCTTGTGATCCTTAGTTTCTGATCCCTATGACCCTCATTTGAACTCTTAATCTGATTTTTGTGATCCTTAATCTGACCCTTGTGACCCTTATGTTGACTCTGGTGACTCTTGGCGTTAAGCCCCATGACCCTTATTTTGACCCTAGTGACTCTTGGCTTTTAAGCCCTATAACCCTTATTTGGAGCCTTACTCGGACCCTTGTGACCCTTAATATAATCCTTGTGACCCGCATTTTGACTTTTAATTTGACCATTGTTACCCTTATTTGAATCCTTGATCTGACCCCTTGTGACCCCTAATCTGATCCATATGACCCTTAACCTGATCCATTTAACCCTCATTATGACAATTAAGACCACTTTCCTGATCCTTATTTTGTGATCCATATTTCTCAGCAGCCGAAAAAAAATTTGTTGTGATTTCTATAACCGAACACCCACTCGTCCGTTGTAGAACAAAATCGAAAACTCATGATTCCTGTTGATTTTTTCGCCATTAGCAATACAAATTCATGTACAATATCGCACATAATTTCATATAGAACATGTCTACACATTTTTTTCATACGTGAGATGATAAAACGAAGCGGACGAAGTCACAATCATCGACGCATTGAATCATCACCACAAGTGTAGCACAAGCGTACCAAACCTGAGTGGGACATTGATCGAGTTGCTTCTGGTCCGGAGAGTTATGTCAGTTGAAGTGCCTCATTTCCTTATGCGCACCAAACCCCCTCGAGAATTGGTGAGTGTACCCGCGAGCTATATACCAACCAGATATGTGTCTCTCCAGAATTCACCGTAATTTATCAACTCAAATTGGACCATAATGAGCCTCTTCTCATTATTCCTGGAGGCATGTGTACTAATTACGTCTCTCAACAAATATTCCTAATTCTTTGGACAATTTACCCCGAAATCGGAGGAAAGAGCAGCTGGAGTTATTGGAGACATGCTGAATTTCGTGTTTTCACATCATCTTGACGTGAATCTCCAACAACTTTTCCGAGGTAATGGAAGGGAAGAGAAAAAGGAAATGTGGAAAGTAATGTGGCAGTTTGCATCGAGCAGAAGGTAAGTGGGCGTGGAAATTTGAAAAAGATGGAAGAACTTCCTCCATCGGGTTTGCCAATCTCCGTTCGAAAAATAAATATGCACATCAGTTCTATCCCTGCATTAAAGACTGAGTAATTCCACCTCTTCGGTGTGGGATTGAGATAAAACATGGGCTCGAGTGTCCTGAGGGGTTTCTTGATACGTTGGGGGAAAAAAAGAAGGAAGAGAGCGATGAAATGCTCAAAGGGAGACTCCACAAGAACTAGTACATCTAGACTCAAAAGCGGAAGTACACGGAATCCTCCACCTTGAGGTCGCTTGTTGAAACTCCAGGACACTGCCCCATTCAGGATTCTACTGTGCAGCAGACGCCGAAAGAGCAGAGGTCCGGACGAGGATTAAGGCTACGGGTTACGTATAGGACTACTCTTAACGAGGAAGATGGTCGCCAGCGGCACGCCAAGACACTCAACGAGACTTTGGCTTTGTTCGCCGGAGGAATACAAAGTAGCGCTGCTTATGGTCCGGAAAGTCCTTCCAAAGTTGTTTTTTACTACTCTTTTTTTGCCTTTTTCTTATTTATCTCTTATTTCTCTTAGTTTTCTAACTGTCGGGGGGGAATCCTGGTGAATGGATTTTTTTTGTTTGAGTGGGTGTTTGGGTATTTTCTGGGATTTATTTTATAGGGCCGGGAAATTTTGATTAGTAGAAAATTGAAAGGCTAAGGTTTCGTTGTTTGAAAGGTTCATCTCAATAAATAGTCTGACTCATTTTCAGTTACGGGTTTTTATGTTGTTTCTTTGTTTATTAGGGGTTGATGTCACATCAACAGCTAGGTTATTAGTGACGGACTCTCGACTCTTTCTTGTCATTAGAGCTCACGACTATTTCCTCCGTAACTTAGCGGTTACGATGTTATGACATTATTTCAAGTGAATGATCAGAATGCAATGAAACATGATGGTGAGAATCAACTGTAGTCAGCTAGGTTCCCGACACACGTGAATTATCAGTATGTAGTTACACATAATGGGGAGAATCCACTATACACGGACGAAAAAATTTAATAAAAAAACCTATCGAATTCGTTAGAAAATTCTAATGAATTTCTATTGAACTGTTCTACTAGTTTTTGGCCGATTCTATTGAAATGTTCAAAAATAGAAAATATTCAGCAGAGAAAGTCAATAGAATTCAATTTTTCTATATAACTTATTCTATTGAAATATTGAAATATTTTCTGTTAACTTTTTCTAATGAAATTTTTCTATTGAACTTGTCAATAGAATCAGCCAAAAACTAATAGAAAGTTTAATAGAAATTAAATAAAATTTTCTAACGAATTCGATAGGTTTTTCTATTAAATTTTTTCGTGCGTGTAGTCAGTTAGGTTCTCGAAACACGGGAAATTGCACCTTGCATGTACATCATTCGAACATGCTCAATTCTATTTTCTCTCAGGAATTCAACATTTTATTTTGAACATTCTTAGTGGTATCCTTATATTATTTGACTAAATCAAATAATCCAGAAATAATTCGCCGGTCCTCCGGACGTCTGGCTTTGTAGGCGAACACCTTACCAACTCGGCCATACACCCGACGATGGGTTTTTATGATTGATCATCTTTAAAGTGTTGATTTCTGAATGGAAGCAGTAAAAGCCCAATTCCTCTAAAATATTTCAATTGAACATGAATATTAATTAGTACTGCTTATTGAGCCTAATTGGAGCGTGAGGGGATTAATTGTTGGAGTTGATGATATCAATCCAGGGGGATTTTTCTGAATTACCCATTATCCGGAATTGGAAATGATTAATTTGGTATTACACATTCTTGTGTAATTAATACAATCGATTCGGTGGGAAATTGGTTCGTATTTTTTAGTGAGGCAAATTATAACTCGTTTCCAAATATTGGAGGATCCCATTTGCACTATTAAACTATTTATCTTTCTTTTATCATTAAAATGTATGCAGTGAGGCTATCTTGGAATTTATCTCTAGTGAAATTGTCCTCGGTTCCTCTTCACGAACGGCTTTAAAAAATTTTAACTCTATTTTTCGGATTTCTTCCACAATTTAGCAATCATAATTCCCACTGCGGATGATCATTTTCTATGCACGTGTTAAATTCTCCGTGAATTCCCAATAGGGTCCTTGGTTATGACTGATGGCTTATCCCAACTGCAAGGACAAGACTTACACCACAACGATAAAATCTACGTTTTTACGAGGCACCTCGGGGGAAATGCCCACTTTACAAATTATAAGGTTTTTCATATTCTTTCTTATTTTCATTCAAATTCACCCTAAGTGCATTTACTCGCCAGTAATTAAACATTTCCATGAATCTCGGTGTGTAGTTTTATGACAGGATAATGAAATACGTCCATTTTACTTTAAGTAAATTTCAAGAATCTTCCGTCTGTATGATTAAATTTTTAAGTCTTTTTCCTTTTAATTCCTCTTTTATGAATTTTTATTTTGTTCTTACGCTTAATACCCGGCGGTTAATGCAACGGGAAGAGCAAGATGTGAGACCAAAAATGGGAGACGGTGAAATAAATAGAGCGTCAGGACAAGAGAGTGCTGCTGAGAAGGAGTATAGGGGGAAATAGCAAAGAAGAAAAATGAAAGGAAAAAAAGGGTGAATAAAAAAAAAGCTGCGATGGGGTATTTTTACGGAAAAATACATTGGAGCACGTACATAGTTAGTAATGGGGTTATTATTCAATCTCACAATTCAGGACCAGTGCTTGATTGAACTGCAGTATCGATGAGGATTCGATTGTTGCTTCAATAAAAATGAGTCGAAAGATAAATTGAAAAAGTATGATTCATTTTTCCAATTCAATATTCTCCGTGTTAGCGTTTTATAAGAGCTATTCCAACAACTTCCATATTTCATTTGCCTTTGGCGAATTATTAAATTGCTGTGTTGATATCGCAGAATAAAATTTGCCGTGACGGATGCAATTTTTTTTATGAGGAAAGTGGATCAAAGAGTTTTCTTTTTATTAACTCACGTTATGAAACCAGACGATTTCACTGGGTGGAGGATTACTCTGGACGTTGCAAATCAGTTTCAGGTCATCACCTTCACGCAAAGAGTCCAGGATATAGCCTACGGCAAGGTGAGCTTGCAATATTGGTGCATCTGGAACAGAATATAAAATAATTTTATTCAATGGAGGAAAATAAATAGTTTATGAATCGCTGTGAGAAACAGATAAACACGAAGAAAAAAGTTTCTAGCTTTCAGTAAAAACGTCAGTATTTCAGAATTGTCGATTTCAGAAATGAAATGTATACAGCAAAAAGTTCTCGAAATAAATTGAATGTGCACTTATTTTTATAAAATGCTCCCTCAAAATGAGAGAAAACATTTCAATTTCGAGTGATTTTGATTCAAATCTAGCACAATTGTTCTCGAGTTGGAACACATTTCCTCTCATTTTAAGCTCATCCTAGATTTAGAATTCAGAATTTCTGGATGCTTAATCCTAAAACAATTAATTTCGATTATTTTTTGAATTTTCATTCAAAAAATAATCGATCATCCTTAAAATATTCGTTTGGATGTTATTTCGGTAGAGTTCAAAGATAGTGGCGACCGCATCATATGCTTCGAAATTATAGACTTAAAAAGCATTTAATCGAGGTTTAATCATGGTTTAGTCGGGATTTAGCCGGTGGTTTTTTTTCATTGTTTAGTCGGAGGTTAATCAGAGCTTAACCAAGGTTTCGTCAAGGTTTAATCTATGTTCAATGAAAGTTTAAACCAGTTTAATTTTAATTTAGTCGGCGTCTGTTAGATGTTTAACCAGGGCATATGGTTCTCACGTTAGACATTTGGGTCATTTAGGGATCATATTAAGGTTTCATGGCTGGTATATCTTCTTCCCAATTTACTATTCAGAAGAAAAATACAATTTAAATCATTTGCTTATGATCAAGGAGACATCAACATTAACGTATCAGGAGCATGAATTCTTGTAATCTGTCTAATTTAAAATAAATTTAGTTCACTAAAAAATCTTATCTCAAATTGTTTTAAAAAAAACTATTGCATTTTCCTGAGGTTAAACTTCAGGAAGGATCCCTACTAATCTGAAATTAATAACAGAAAATCGAATATTCACTTTTTTGTTTCAATCCGATTAATCCATTTGGAAGAGAATTGCTAATTTTGAGCAAAAAAAAATTTGATTTAGACCTGTGCAATGGGCCGCTTGTTTCTGTAGCAAATGATTGATTGAGTTTTTTGTGGATTTTATTCGTTATTTTGTGTTTTTTAATACAATCCCTGTAGTTACAGATAGATTATACCGTCGTCATTTTCGCGTATTGTCATAGGCATCACAATCTACGATTGTTGAACGTGCCTCTCTGTACATGTTTCTTCTTTTGAAGTACAATCAATATGACAGACATTGCACGTAGTTTACACAGGAGTTTTTCAAACATAACTGCAGGTGCCTGTCAATATTTGAAAGTGGCTTAATCCGGGAATATTGCCTATTGTCACTCTTTTTTTCTCTCGAATTTCATGGGAAAAATAACAGATTGTTTCTACAAGAGAATGAAGTATTGCTAATTGCTTTCGGAACAGAAGTGTTAATAAACCCGTGAGAATTGAAATGGAAATTCACGATAAATAACGACGCTCATGAAGAATGAGAAAAATAAAAAGATTGATTGTGATGGAGCACCAGACAACTATAGAGTGCAAAAAGAGAGATAGAAAAAAGGGGAGGGGGCGGGAAATAAAATTATATCGGAAGCGTGAAGCAGCATTAATTGCTGGCGGCGAGTTCTTGGTAATTGAATTTGCCGTTTTGCAGACGGTTACTTTCAAGGATTATTCCAACGAGTTTACGAGGCGTCGGGCAAATGCTCCCGGTGGTTGGGATCGCTTGAACTTACGACCTTAATTAAAACAGTGTCATCCAAGACATTTTTTCGTCGTCAGAAGTAATAAAAGTCCACTAGTGGAGGGCAGAAACACAGGTTCCCCGAGTCTTTTAACAACTCAACTCAACAATTATATCTTGATTTCATTCAAATTTACATTGGAAATTTTTCCAACTGTTACTCCTTTTTGCTTCCGAATGGAAGCCTTGCATTTTGCGATTTTTAGATTTTCTTTGGAATTTTATTGGTTCCAGTTTCACTGTTGGAAATTTTTTGAAATTTTATGGAAGATATTATAGTAAATCTCATGAGAGTGACATTGAATCGAATTTAGGGAAAAAATGGGTATGAACTTTCAAGTTTTAAGTAGAATTCACGGAGATTCATGAGTTTCCGGTGGGAGGGAGATGGAAATTTCACAACCTGATTGAATTTTCAGTGGAACATGAATATTCAGAAACAAAATGACATGAATTTTCAGTTTTTCACTGAATTTTTAGAGAATAATTGAACTGAAAAATCAAGTATTTTAATGATTTTCAGATCATTTGAACAACAAATCAATGGAATATTTGATTATTCAATGACAAGATTTCCTGAAATTTCAGTGGAACTTGAACACGATAAAAATTACCGGAATTTAGCACGGAAAATTCAGACGAAAATTTTTAACAGTGTTCATTGGCTTTCGAATGGTTCCCAATTCGTGTTTTTAAATATTTTTCTCTCTGTGAACATACGTATGTATACAGAGGGTATATATATGTGGTTTAATTAGTATAAATATGGAATTAGAATGAATAAAGATAAAAAACAATAGTGTACACAGGCAGGGTGCGGCTGCGGCGGTCGTCCAAGCTTTGTCTCAATTTCTCATACTTCTATAAAATGAAAAAACCATATATTCATGTCATATGGCCTTTTAAGCTATCCTGATGTGAAAAAGAACGGTGAAATATGGATGCGTAATTTTTTTTTCTTAAGAATCTTCGGTGAATTGTTTCATTTCAGGAACTGCACGCCTGTCACAAGGATAGCGAATTGCTACAGATCCATTCGGAAGCTTACTACCAGTGGAATTGGTAGAAATAAAAGGAAGAAAGAGACTAATAACGCAAAAAGTAAGGGTCACATGCCTTCTGTCGGATACGCTCGAACCCCCGTTTGTTTGTATTTTTTTTCACCAGTTGAATGTCATTATTCATTTTATATTTTTCATACTCCAACAGTTGCTCCACATTATATGCTTAATTTTACCGTTCAAATTAAAATTTATGAATTTGAATTTTGCAGCAATTTGATAAAAATGACATTTTTTTCTCCTTTATTGAATGTTTCTAAAGTGTAATATTGGAGAAAAAACGGATGAGGTGGCTGATGTTCACCTGGAAAATTTCATCTACGTGGGCTTCTCGGGTCAATGTCGCGTTTATTGAGAATTTTCATGGAGATGACGTCCACATCCGATAACCCCAATACTGGATTCGACAGTCTACCGTCGCAGTGGCTCGTACCATCAGAATGCAAACGATCTAACCGAAAACATGCGCGAAAGTCCGATGAGAACATGCCGGAAATGTAGTCGATGAGACCGTCGATACTCACTCCCCCTCTTAGACGAGTTTCCCTGAAAACGTAGTCGTCAGTATCCAAAGCTAGACGAAAAAGTTTTTGGACGATCGTTTCGTTTCGCAAAGTAACCGTCTCTCCTCCTTTTCCTACCTCTCACTCTTATTTCTCTCTTCCTTTCTATCTATCGTTCTCTACTTTAACGAAAACCCAACGAGAAAATTCCATTTCAAAGTATCGTCGTCAGTGTGACCCTCTTGAAAATCCAAAGCGGAAGGAAACTGCAACGGCTGTCCAAACAAGCCAATTAATTGACTCTAGTTGAATTGAGGTCGACCGGCTGGTTACATCCGCAAAGAAACGATTGGCTCATTGCTATTCCTTGCATCGACTTTGAGAAAACTTTCTTCTGAACCCATCCTTAGTTTCTTGGCCTTTTAATCTTACCAGACAATTATCAAATGTTTTTCTTTTTAAATTGAAAAACGATTCGCATGGATGGAGGATCGGGAGAGATTAAAAATCATTGGTCTGTGGAAATAACAAATTTGCAATAACAAGAAGAAGATTCAGAGAGAAGTAGATGATAATATGAAATTGATTTTGCATGATTTAAACTGCGGAATGGAACAACTAATTGATATTTCTGATAGATGGATATAAAGGGTAAAAGGATTATTTTAAGTTCGAAATTATTCATTTACACACACGTTTTCTGAGTAAAAAATGTTTTCTTTGTCTATTCGGCAGAAATTTAGTTGCTCACGTCAGAAGAGGACTGGCCAAACAGTTTCGTGGATGTGGACATTCTCAAACCAAAACCTATTCTAACGTCTAAATCTCAGAACTTCGATTGGATGAACGTAATTTGATAGAAAGTAATCGTAATGATATAGGAAAAATTTTGTTTGTTAAAGAATATGAGATATACCGAAGGATCCACAAGTGCTATTTAACCAAATTAAAAACAAATATTGTGAGTAAATATCAATCATTATTCTTCGCTAAAATTATCATCATTTACCAGGTCAGAGAACAAAATCTAAATTCAATTTTTCACATACAAGTGTATTTGCAAATTTCCGTTCAAAATCTTGTTTTTTAAACTAGGACGATTGACGTATGAATTTTCCAGATAAATTGAGAATATAAATCATTCATTTGAGATTGTAGCATAATCGGAATTTATTATTCATTCATCCTTTCTACATCTCTGGATTTTTATCTTGAATAAGTATATTATACATCTATAAGAAATTTTCATCTCCTATAGATATATGGAAAAATTATATATAGAAGCCCAATGTTCAAATAATTTTCAGGAAATCTATCTTATTGAAAATATGACTATATTAAAAAGTTATTTAATTAAAAACTTCGTGACAGGAAAATATTATACTCAGCCGATCACGCTCAATCCAAACAATCGAGACTTAAAACTGAAAAAATATATCGAAAATAATCGAAGCCAACGAAATGTAAAATTTGCCACCGGAGCAACACCTAACTCACCCAACCATTACCGTCGCCTCTTTTGTCAAATTATTTAACATTCAGTTGAATGAGACAGAATTTTCTTCTAACGATGAATTTGTTAATTTGTTCAATTATGTTTGACAAGAAAATGCTACACCTCGCGTGGCCTGGGTGAGTGGCTGCTAGGGCTCAAAACTTGACTAAATAAAATAATGCTGGGCGCAAATTAATTCATTTAAAATTAACAAAATTACGAAATATGTAGAATGAATGTGATTGAGACGACCCGAGGAATTGGGAGAGCATATAAAATAATTAACGAATTCCCAAATATTTTATTATGCCATTACATTGATAATTAACTAAATGATTTTAATACGAATTAATGCAGGCAATGTTGTGTAAGTTGTAGAGTATAACTTACAGCGCCGGACGTGTTCAATACTCCTTTGATAATTTCACTCAATTAGATAAATTTTGATTCACAATATAATTGTTGGTCACTAGAACGCGATAAAACTTCTTGAGTATCGACTCTTCAATATTTAAATATTGATTAAAATAATATGAAGGGTTGACAATTATTATAGCCTTTATAAGAGTGCCTTGTAATATACAAAGGATAACATAATAGAGTATTTCACTCATAAGAGTATGACCAAGAGTTGGTTTTTGGTGTGTTTCACGGTTATTGGCTCCTTCTACAAGGAGTGGTGAGAATCGTCAATCACGTAACAACCGTTATCGCCTGTGAGTACTCATCGGGACAATTGCTGTTTTGTCTCTTTCATTATCATGGCGGTTGTTATGTTTGTCTCGCTTGCCATCTTATAGTAGTGTATGAGACGTTTATCCGAGATGACCTGTCTATTAGTGTTTATTTGTCAACTGCAAGATAATATTGTCAACTATGTGAATTACGGATTCAATTATATTTAAGATGAAGCCATTAGTATGAATGTTGTTTGAATTTCACAATTTAAGTGGGAACGATCAATGTCGTTGAAATTCACCAACTAGTTGTTGAAAAAAATTTATTACTAACCAGTTAGTGAATTTCAATAACTAGTTGGGGTAGAAATGATTTTCCTGTTGAATGAAATTATCGTCATTATTGTCGACTTCATTGTATCTCTTTACCTTCTTGGGAAGATTGAATTTAGTTTCAATGTTATTTTTTAACTTTACGTTTGAGGGTGATTTCAATCTTTTTAGAAAATGTTGTTTCTAGCGGAATTATTTATTTTCATTGGCGCATTCCTTCAACTAATTTTTCTTCAAAATTTTATACCTCGCGTTCTGCGTATAAGTTCTACGATGTGCTGCTATTCAAAATAGTAATACTGCTGATTTCCACGGTAATTTTTATCGATTTTGTTTCTTTTCTACGAATGATATTGTTTTAATAATTTCGAAATTTCAAATGCGGTGAAAAGATGCTAAAAAATCATAACAATTAACTCACTACAATTCTTAATTTATCCTTCATCGTCAAATTTCACTTCATGAAATCTATCAGTCGTCAGACCCCTGCCGGAACAGATGTAAATACCTTCAACTTTTATCTCCTTTCCCGCCCATTATTAATATTTCCATTAATTTAAAATGATTTATTCACCGTTGAAGGAATTCTGTCTCAACTTCATGTAACGAGCGATTTTGAAATAACTTTAATGATCAAAAGAGGAATTCTTTCGATAATATAAATCCAATGCGCGAGAGAAGCCTCAATTGTTTGCTCACTGACCTGTGCAATCCGAGTATTAAAGTAGACACAGTATTATTATTTCTTGATATTTTGTTCTTCAAAAACCCTGGAATATCCAACTCTACCGAGAGTCAGGGTATACCACAATCCTCAAGGATATCCAACATGATGAGATAGCATCAAATCGCACGGAGGTAACGTCTCCACTGAGTTCTAACCAATTTATGAATGCGGCGGTCTGACATGAAATTGCACTATAGTCCCTGAAGTACCATTGGACGTTGCCGTAGTTGGTGGGGTCCTCCCAACTTTGTTTCCTCTCACTCCTCTACTCAATGGACAAGGGGATAGTATTCCAGTACATTTGTGAACACCGTGGAGTTTGATCCAACAACACAAACTTCCCTAATTCTTGTTTCAGGGATTATAAATTTAATAAACAACAGTTGGAGATTGAAGAACAAATTGAAATAAAAATGGAAAACAAAAAGTCTCAAGTGGAGAGAAAAAATTTTGTTCAGATGAGGTAATCGAATTCCGAAAGTTCACTCATCAGGGGAAAATGTCGTGGCAAATTGCTGGGCGACTGCTACCTACTGGTCACCGATCCGGTAAATTTTAGGCCACGAACACTCGTTGGTGGATGAAATTGGCCGGAGGTAAATGGCTCTCTCTGCCTCACTTTTACACCGATATTTTCTCTCTTTCTCCACCACCCAAAGCTTTGAAGTATATATTCCCCGGGGCATTATAGTCCGTGAGCGTAAAAGTAAAGTCCACTACCTAGATTTTGTTCCCCTCTATCTATCCTCCACCAATTTTTTTCTCTATTTCCATCATCTTCCTTTTTTTTCATTATCAGAACTGCAATCGTTTCGAAAATGAAATCAGTCAAGTAAATGGATTATTTTTCGATTTAACCGGGGATTTACTTTGCGTTTGTGCAATAGCCCGAAGGTAAAAATTGTTGGGGCAGAACAAAAAATGAAAGAATACTGGACAATATCATCAACTCACAGGCAACTCGAAGTTGACGAATCTCTTTGAGCTCACCACCGGGAAAATTGTGATTGACCGCTGTGCAGCTCAACTCTTTGCCATCGTCATCGCGATCAAGTACTAGAGCAAGTTTACTCAGCGTGGAATTGCTTCGTTGGGTTGTTGCTACACTTGGGTCACGGAATTTCAGTCCACCGAGACTCCATGCTAGGGTAGCGGCTGGCCAGCTGCCCCATGTTTCACATACCGCAGCTATTGGATGTCCAGCGAGGATGAAGTCATCATTGAGACGTATTTTCACTGCAACAGGCTTCACTAAAAGCAGACGATAAAAAAGTACATAAATAAAAAAAACAATACCACTTGAGTTGAAAGTTTCAGAGAGATTCCACTTGAAAATTCACCCTCACTCAACCGGAATTCAATATTTAATTGCTCGAGTTATCTCCAACAATCTCCAACGATGTATAATATGCCGAGTTAATACCTTAATTTATTGAATTTCCAGAACTAGTTGAATTAATGAATTACGAGGAGATAAAGTGGCTCTGTCGAAGATGAATCGAATTCAGGAGTGCCACTGATTTATACGACGAATCAAATCCACGGGATTATTGCCCCCCTTCGTTCAACTATGGAAAACTCGTCGAAAATGTACGCCTGGCGCCTGCCGGCTATAGAGTACAGACCTCTACATGCTGTAAAGTTGGCGCAAAATATTATCGCTATTGATCCTTTTTTTTACTGATGCTTTCGCTGTGGAAGTTTTAGTCCAATGTGTATTGGTATTGCAGATACGTCTATGGTTTGTACTATAGTGGGAAGGGGGGGAAGGATTTAACACACGAATTGAGGAAAAGTCGTTTCACGGTTTCTGGCAGCAGTTCTTCGAGGACAGCCTGGCGGTTACTTGGACCGCAATCAGCTGTAAATTAAGCTATCTCAGTTTTATCGACATCACGGGGGATTTTCAGAATTGCGAGGTATAAATGGAAGGATAGATGAGTTTTAGATGGGGTAAAAAGGTGGATGGGAATTTTTGGTTTATGCACGGAGAAAAGTTCCTAGTTTTCAGAATCATGTTACTGCTTTTATGAAAGTTATGATTGCAAGAGACACTTTACTGAGACTACAAACAGGGTTACGTGAATTTGAAAGGAAAATCCATTAAATTCAGGAAAATAAAAATCGACTTGTAAGGGAGAAAAGCTCTTAGATCAAAAACCATTGGGCTCTTGAATCAAGAACCATTGAGTTCTTGAAGTAAGACACGCACAAAAAAATTTAATAGAAAAACCTATCGAATTCGTTAGAAAATTCTAGTGAATTTCTATTAAACTTTCTATTAGTTTTTAGCTGATTCTATTGACATGTTCAATAGAAAACATTCAATAAAAAAGTCAACAGAATTCTATTTTTCTATATAACTTATTCTTTTCATATATTTTCTATAGAATTTGCTCGACTCAAATTTTCTAAGTTTTTTTCATTCGATTTTTCTTCTCATCAAGAAAATCAAACGAAAAAACTTAGAAAATTTGAGCCGAGGAAATCCTATAGAAAATATCTCAATAGGATAAGGTATACAGAAAAATGGTATCCTATTGACTTTTTCTACTGAATATTTTCTATTGAACATTTTAATAGAATTGGCCAAAAACTAATACAACAGTTCAATAGAAATTCAATAGAATTTTCTAACGAATTCGATAGGTTTTTCTATTAAAGTTTTTCGTCCGTGGAAGATTCGAAGGGGATACAATTCTGGATTAAAATTCTGGAAAAAATTATGCAAGGACAACATAATTAGTGTTTCCTCTCATGAAAATCTATTTTAAGAGATATTTTCGGATCATGAAGGAAGAATTTGAAAATGAGAATCGCTTTGACATTTTATATACCGTCAATACATTGTTTGAAGGATGAGGTGACAAGTTTAGATGGTTATAACGAATAAATATACAAACATATAACTTGTTCTGAAAAAGAATAAAATGTTCAAAGGAAATAGAGCCGTAATATTTAATTATTATTCCTTCAAACAACATAAAATAATGATTGGAGTATCATTAGCATATTTGCACAATATCATTTTGTTCTTATCCATTTAAATTTATCAAATAAAATCTGAATTTCATTCATTTCGTTGAATCATTCAACATCGGAGATTTTTGATTTTGACGTGAATGGTATTACGCTGTTGAAAATTTTCGGCTGAATTTTCCGTGCCAAATCTTGGAAATTTTTATCGTAGTCAATTTCCACTGAAATTTCAGGAAATATTGACATTGAAAAATCAAATATTCCATGAATTTTTGGTTCAAATGATCTGAAAATCAATAAAATACTTGATTTTTCAGTTAAATTATTACGTGAAAATTCAGAAAAATCGGGAAAATTCAGGGAAAATTTTGAATTTTCATGTCGTTTTGTTCGAGAATACTCATGTTCCATTGAAAATTCAATCGATTTGTGAAATTTCCATCTCACTCCGACTGAAAGCTTCCTTGAATTTCCTTGAATTTTACTTAAAGCTTGAAAGTTCATAACCATTTTTCCCCTAAATGCGATTCAATGTCACTCTCATGAGAATTACTATCATAGTTTCCATGAAATTTCAGAAAATTTCTAACAGTGTAGCTGCATGCGGCCAATACCGCTCACTCAACTCTAATCTTCATTTTTTGATAATTTATTGGAATTGAAACAAGAATTGAGGACTCAAGACTTCTTAATATCTGGCTGAATAGCCAAAGAATGCTATGCGATTATAATTTTTATCCGAAATCATCGTTTGGGATGCAAAAATTATGGTGAATTATGTTAATAGGATGCATAAATTATGGTGAATTATTCTTTAGGTGAGCGTACAAGAACCACTTCCCCTAGTATTCAAATCGCTTGACCATTGGTTTCTTCAATCGGAAAGCTCAGAAGAATTAGAAGATTCACAAGCGTCATATGGTTGGAATCTCGAGAGTGAAATATTCGAAGAAATGTGCAATGCGGTCAAGAGGGTCATATGGATAAGATTCGGGGAACCAAAGAGTTTAGAAGGGCCTCACTTGATTTCCAGTAATTTCTTCCTCGACTTCTAATCGAGTGGTCCAGTGATTTCCTAAGGGCCCCCCCATGGAAAAATATATAAAAAACAAATATATAAAAATATATAATATTGACCAATTCAATATATACTTCGAATAGATATGAGATTTATATCAAATATATATGAAATATATATAAATTTATATTTTATATAACTTTTATATATGAACCAGGCCAATTCCATACATAAAATATATAATTTTCAGAATACATATTATTGCGTATGGGCTCGCCGGTACATCTACCGACCATAATATTATATTATCTGAGTTGTCTCACAGAGGTTTAAATGCACCAATAGTGACCAGGTTTCAATAATACCCCACCTGACAATTTTATGGCATCCGTCCACTCTGAATTATGTCTACCGCTTTGATTTAATTAAAATTGTGAATGAAACCCGGTTAAGTGCTGTTATCAATTAAAGAAGCCTCAGAGAATAAATACTCCGCGGGAAATAACATTTCCTTAAATTACGTCACCCCCCACCGTTACCTATTTATGTAAGTATCTCGATTCCAGTAAATTGGCTCGTCAATAAATTTCTATCTCATAACAGAAATGCGTTCGGACTGTTCAGATCATTAATCTCCAGTGATATTGATTGATTTGTTCGGCTTCCTTCATTAATTAGTTCCTAAAGCAATCAATTTAATCTGTATTTGTCCTACTTCAGGTTTTCGTTGAATTTCAAGAAATATTTATCTGAGGATAACTTGAGTAAATTTACCTCCGTAGGAGTATGAATAGATACTCATACTCAGTGGGCTACAAGCCCACGACGGAAATGTAAATGCGAAAAAAGGGTCACACTGCAACTTTCGCAACGTGGGTCCATAATATTTTTATACTCTACCGAAGGAACTTCCGAGAAATTCTTAAACCGACAAAGGAGAGTTTAAGAAGCACCAAAATGATGACTGGAATTTATCTCACTTCCGTTTCATCTTTACCCTTTTACGTCGTCCACTATTTTTGAATATTTCTTTGTGCCCATTTCTGAAGTTTGCAGCGTTATCAATAAAATTTTACGAGAATATTATACAGAACCAGAAGTAAATACATTTGACCGAAATAATTCAATTATTTTGGGGTCATGGAGAAAAATGCCAGTTTTCATAGTTTATAACATACATTTGTAGAATATAGGAAATTTTATATCATTTCTAGAAAAGAATTTTATGCAGTCTTAATAAATAAAAATCATCGAAATTTTGATAAATTTAAAGGGAGACTACTATGAGTTTTAAAGATCGTGGGTTATTGGAGTGAGACTTTTCATACGTTGAAGATCGATTAGATAAATCTGAAAACGAATAATTAGTGCAAAAAAATTTTTTTTCCAGACTGGGGCCGGAAAACCACCTCTTTTCCAGGCCGTTTAGAGACGGCAAAGAGGCTCTTTTTCTGACTGCCCAGAGCCTGGAAAAGAGTCTCTCCAAGGTCCGGATTATTATTTTCACGTCTCGACCTATATTCTGTTGGTCCAGATCGTTCCACGCATGCGCCACCACGTGTCAAAATACTTGTAAACGCCGTGAAATTTCATCCTCACTAACCTATAAGTAACTTGTTGTATGTGATTTATCACACCTGTGATTTATTTGTTTTAATTTCAATGATAATCCACAATCCATCGAAATGGAGGAAGATTTTGTGGAAGAGTTTTTACGCCACTCATGACACGAGACGCGAAGCGTCGAGTGTGTAATAAATTTCGTCCTTAACGTGTGTGGTTACATCACTCGCCTTCGGCTCATGCTGTAAACCCCACACGTTAAAGACGATATTGCCCCACATGTGCTGAAATATACTATATCGCAAAAACGATAATGACCTACCGCAAGAAGTGAGAAATCAAGCAGAATCGTATCGTGACGATTTAATATCTAAAAAATCGAAACCGAAGTACGATCAGTGTTATGAAAAGTTTATGGAATGGAGAGAATCGGAACGGAATCAATTCTTTTACTAAAGATATTTTCCTTGTCTATTTTGGGCAACTGAAAGATAGTGGAAAATACTGCCCCACTACGTTGTGGTCATTACGTTCAATGCTGCTATCAGCAGTTCTTACAAAACATAATATAAACATAAAAAATCATCACCAAGCGATTGCATTTCTGAAACAAAATGAAAAGGGCTACAGAAGAAGAATAGTATATTACGCAACAAGTGCGTAATGGGTAAAACACCATAACGCACGAGTT